GAAAAATTAGTTTCTCTGACAGGTTGTCAAGATGCGTCGAGCAGCGAAAGTTCAGATTTTTGAACTCAAGCGTCGGTTGCTTTCGCCGCACCACATGCACGGAAAATGCTCTGCCGCACGTTCCGCATTCCTTGCGAATTTTAACTAAATGGACCTGATGCGCCGCAAGACCCCTAGAGGCGTGTCCACCATAGACTTTGCATGTAAACTGGCTGCTCCTGCAGCTCAAAATGTGTTCAGTGTGAACGAGATAAGGCCACCGAACCGGACTCCCTACACCCCCTGGCTGCACAGAAAAATTCTGTCCGTGTAAGTTATGAACAGAATCAGTGACAACAGGCAGCACTGGGAGAGTCCAACTCCCACTCTGAAGGGGTCCAACTTAATGCAAGCCAAACTCTCGCACTGCTTGTATAGGGACTGAAAAATGGACCCACAATCCCATACTCACGTAGCATCCCCCACAGTGTATCTCAAGGAACACGGTCGAATGCCTTCTCCAAGTCCACAAAACACATGTAGACTGGATGCGAAAACTCCCATGAGCCCTCGAGGACCTAGTGAGGGTAAAGAGTTGGTCCAGTGTTCCACAGAACCTGCATTGTTCCTCCTGAATCTGAAGTTCAGCCATTGATCGGACTCTCTTCTCCAGTACCCCTAAAAAGACCTTACCTGGAGGCTAAAGAGAGTGATGCCCCTGTAATTGGAGCACACCCTCCGGTCCCCAAATAATTTTTAGTTTTGTCATTTTTAAAAGCACTTTAAAACAGGTTTTACTCTTTATTGCCATTATATATTTGCTTTTAATCGAATTTTAACTTCCAGGTAGCATTTTTAATGTGGGGGTTAAAAGACATATCCTGATCAAAAATAACACCAAGCTTCTTTACATTAGAACTGGAGGCCAGATTAATGCCATCCAGAGGAGGTGAAAGGCTGCAAAGTTGATCCCTAAGATGTTCAAGTCCCAAAACCACAACCTCTGTCTTTTCTGAGTTTAGAAGCAGAAAATTAAGAGTCATCCAGGTTTTTATGTATCCAAGACATGCTTGTAGTTTAAATAACTGATAGGTTTCACCAGGTTTCATCGATAAATATAACTAAGTATCATCAGCACAACAAAATTTATTCCATGCTGTTTAATACAAATATATTGTTTTTTAAATGATAAATTCTCTTTTTGTTCACCTGAAGGTAATGACCCAACAAATCACTTCTGACGAGGAACAGAGAATAAGTGAGACCCAGATGTTGGTCCGTTGCTGTGGTACCAGCATGGAGGCCAACAGGAAGCTGGTGGAGAGCACAGAGAGCAGCATGGAGGAGCTGGACATGGCTGCCTTTGTTGAGGTGGGCTGCATGTGGCACCTGTTCCAACATTAAAGTATCATAAATYAAAACACTTTAACATTCATTATCTTAATTTCTGACATGTCCTCACTCTTCCTTTAGAATTCAAAAGAGCTGATCACAAGGTGAGTATTGTGGAATTACARACTATTTTAGAATAAACTGAATTCTCTAGTATTAATCATTTCTTGTACCTCTCCATGCTGTTGTAGTGTTGTTGAGTCCCTTCTTTCAATTTCCCCCTCAGAGTGATGGCAGCGACCAGCTCCTGTCCTTCAGAGACCCTAAAACCAAGTTTTGAAAATCTGAGCTCCTATGAATTTAATTTCAGCAGACAAAAGAGAGCTCTAAAGAGAATTGACTTCATCAAAGGTACATAAGAGTAAAAAACAGAATAAATTTGTTAAAAGTAATTTTTTGTTTAAATCTCAGAGCGGACTTTACTTTAATTCAGACATGTTTGGGGCTAAGCTAACTAATAGTTAATTAGGCAACAAATTTATTTTTACCTTCTAAAACAACACAAWCTTCAAAAAAGCAAAGATTCAAATTACCACAATGCTGTAGGTTGTCTCTCAGTTTCAGACCATTGTTTACTTGTTTATTTGATCAACCAATCCTTTATGTGTCAGAACATAAAGAGTGAGTCATCCCACCACCGATCAGCTGTGACTAATAATTCAGCTTTTCTAGTCCCCCSAAAATAAACATTATTAAAAGAAAAGTGTATTTCTGTGACAAAATAACATCCTATTCATTATAGATGGCTCTTTAAATGAATCCAGTTTCTGAAAATATAGTTAAATTCTAAAACGACTGATGAGCTAATGGCTATATGCTGAAGATTCTCAGTCATCCAGGTCATGATCAATTAAAAAAAACAGTTAAAAACAGAACAATTGGACTTCTATTCAGATGCTGAAGTCATTTCACTACCACTGAGTTTATTTTGCTTTTAACTTTTTTCGATTGAGCTAATGACTGGTCCAAACGCAATTATGACTGAAGTGGATGGCTATGCTTTCCAGTATTGAAAGAGTAAATATTATTTCAAAGATCTTTACACTGTTGTTAATTTCACAATATGGACCACAAGTATTGTGAAGGATGAGCATGTTTTTGCTCATGTTTGCATGTGTTTGATGGTTTATCCGTCCGTCCGTTTTCTTCCACTTATCTGGGGTTGGGTCGCGGGGGCAGTAGACAAAAGCAGAGAGACCCAGACTTTCCTCTCCCCAGCCACTTGGGCCAGCTCGTCCAGGGGAATCCCAAGGCATTCCCAGACCAGCCGAGAAACARAGTCCCTCCAGCATGTCCTGGTTCTTCCTCTTGGCCTCCTCCCAGTGGGACATGCCCGGAACACCTCACCAGGGAGGCGTCCAGGAGGCATCCTAACCAGATGCCRGAGCCACCTCAACTGACTCCACTCAATGTGGAAGAGCAGCGGCTCTACTCTGAGTCCCTCCRGAATGACTGAGCTTCTCACCCTATCTCTAAGGGAGAGCCCAGACACCCTGCAAATGAAACTCTTTTCGGCCACTTGTATCCGCAGTCTCGTTCTTTCAGTCATTACCCATAGCTCGTGACCATAGATGAGGGTTGGAACGTAGAATGACCGGTAAACCGAGAGCTTCACCTTCTGGCTCAGCTCTCGCTTCACCACAATAGACCGGTACAATGCCCGCATCACTGCAGATATACTACCAATCCGCCTATCAATCTCCCGCACCATTCTTCCCTCATTCGTGAACAAGAACCCAAGATACTTAAACTCCTCCACTTGGGGCAGGACNCCTCAACTGACTCCACTCAATGTGGAAGAGCAGCGGCTCTACTCTGAGTCCCTCCTGAATGACTGAGCTTCTCACCCTATCTCTAAGGGAGAGCCCAGACACCCTGCAAATGAAACTCTTTTCGGCCACTTGTATCCGCAGTCTCGTTCTTTCAGTCATTACCCATAGCTCGTGACCATAGATGAGGGTTGGAACGTAGAATGACCGGTAAACCGAGAGCTTCACCTTCTGGCTCAGCTCTCGCTTCACCACAATAGACCGGTACAATGCCCGCATCACTGCAGATATACTACCAATCCGCCTATCAATCTCCCGCACCATTCTTCCCTCATTCGTGAACAAGAACCCAAGATACTTAAACTCCTCCACTTGGGGCAGGACCTCCTCCCTGACCCAGAGAAGGCACCTTACCCTTTTCRGGCTCAAGACCTTGGTCTCGGATTTGGAGGCACTGATCCTCATCTCAGTCACTTCACGCTCAGCTGCAAACTGCTCCATTGAGAGCTGAAGATCACGATCTGATGAAGCCAATAGGACCACATCATACGCAAAAAGCAGAGATGCAATCCTAAGGTCACCAAAACAGATATCCTCAACACCTTGGCTGCACCTAGAAATTCTGTCCATAAAAGTTATAAACAGAGTCGGTGACAAAGGGCAACCTTGGCAGTCCAACTGAGAGTCCAACTCTCACCGGAAACAACCTGAAATGCAGACCAAGCTCTGGCACTGGTCGTACAGGGACCTAACAGCCCATATCAATGGGCCTGGGACCCCATTCTCCTGGAGTACCCCCCTACAGGAGTCCCCAACAGAAACGGTCGAACGTCTTCTGCAAGCCCACAAAACACGTTGAGCAAACTCCCACGCACTCTCCAGGACCCTGATGAGGGTGTAGAGCTGGTCCTCTATTCCACGACCAGGACAGAAACCACACTGCTCTTCCTGAATCTGAGATTCAACTATCTGACAGACCCTCCTCTTCAGGACCCCTGACTAGACCTTACCAGGGAGGCTTAGAAGTGTGATTCCCCTATAGTTGAAACACACCCCCTTTCTAAATAGGGGTACCACCACCCCGGTCTGCCAATCCAGGGGAGCTGCCCCCGATGTCCATACAGTATTGTAGAGTTGCATCAACCAACGCAKACCCACAGCATATAGAGCTTTAAGGAACTCCGGGCGAATCTCATCCACCCGTGGTGCCTTGCCACTGAGGAGCTTTTTAACCACCTCAGTGACCTCAGCACCAAAGATTGGAGAGTCTGACCCAGGGTCCTCAGGCTCTGCTTCCTCGTGGGAAGATGTGTCGGTGGGATTGAGGAGGTCTTCGAAGTATTCCACTCACTGACCCACAACGTCCCGAGTTGAGGTTAGCAGTGCACCATCCCCACCATAAACAGTGTTGGTGGAGAACCACTTCCCCSCTGAGATGCCGGATGGTGGACCAYAATCGCCTCGAAMCTGTARGGAAGTRTTTTTKCATGGCCTCTCCAAACTCCTCTCATGCCCGAGTTTTTGCCTCAGTGACCACCTGAGCCGCAATCCGCTTGGACTACTGATACCCATTAGCTGCTTCCAGAGTCCCACAGGCTAAAAAGACCRGATAGGACTCCTTCTTCAGCCTGACAGCATCCCTCYCCGCCAGTGTCCACCAGCGGGTTCGAGGGTTGCCGCRACAACAGGCACCYACAACCCTACGGCCACAGCTCAGGTAAGCCGCTTCGACAATGGAGGCACAGAACTTGGCCCACTCAGACTCAATGCCCCCCACCTCCCCCCAGAACATGTTTAAAGTTCTCCNGCTCAGGTAAGCCGCTTCGACAATGGAGGCACAGAACTTGGCCCACTCAGACTCAATGCCCCCCACCTCCCCCCAGAACATGTTTAAAGTTCTCCCGGAGATTTGAGTTAAAGCCCTGTCTGTCAGGAGACTCTGCCAGACGTTCCCACAGACCCTCACTATGTGTTTGGGTCTGCCAGGTCTGACCAGCATCCTCCCCCACCACCGGAGCCAACTCACCACCAGGTAGTGGTCAGTTGACAGCTCCGCCCCTCTCTTCCTTCACTCAAGTATCCAAGACATGCGGCCGCAGATCAGATGAAGCAACAACAAAGTAGATCATCGAACTCTGGCCTAGGATCTCCTGGTGCCAAGAGCACATATGGACACACTTATGCTTGAACATGGTCTTCATTATGGACAATCCATGACAAGAACAGAAGTCCAAAAACAAAACACCCCTCGGGTTCATATCCGGGGGGCCGTTCCTCCCAAACACGCCCCTCTAGGTCTCACTGTTATTGCCCACATGAGGGTTGAATTCCCCCAGCAAAACGAGGGAGTCCCCATTTCAGGCTCCATGGGCAAAAGCCCAGCCACCAGGTGCTCACCAACGTGCCCCACCACCAGGCCTGGCTCCAGAGCGGTGCCCCGGTGCCCCACGTCCAGGCAAGGGAACACCAAGTCCATTTGAGGCATTTATCATAAGGGGTCTTTGGACGGTTTACACTTTTAGGTAAATATCGCATGAACAACTGAACAAATTTTGACAAAACTTTCAAAAAATAATTAAATGTACATTTACACCTGATGAGCTTTGGGAGCTGCCCCATTTCAAAATGGCCACCACAAATGATCAACATTAGCCTGCTTAAAAAGGTTATACTGAGAATTTTGAAATATTGAGCTTAACTCTGATATTGGAGATGTTGAGGAAGGACAAAAATGGAGAAGATTAGGATTGAGATCATCAGAGGGACAGCACAGGTTGAAGGACTGGAAGATAAAGTTAGAGACCAGATAAAGATGGTTTAGACATGTCCAGGGGACGGACAGTGGATATATTGGTTCGGACATTTCCAGAGGAGGGACAGTGGGTATATTGGTTTGGATGTGTCCAGAGGAGGGACAGTGGGTGTAGTGGTTTGGATGTGTCCAGAGGAGGGACAGTGGGTATATTGGTTTGGATGTGTCCAGAAGAGGGACAATGGGTTTATTGGTTTGGACATTTCCAGATGAGGGACAGTGGGTATATTGGTTTGGACATTTCTAGAAGATGGACAGTGGGTATATTGGTTTGGATGTGTCCAAAAGAGGGACAATGGGTATATTGATTTGGACATTTCCAGAGGACGGACAAAAAACTTCTGGGCTGTTAACCTGGATGTCAGAAATGCAGTAAGAGCTCCAGCACAAACTGTGAACCATCTGTTCAGTCTGAAAATAATCCAGTAATCAGAAAAGTTTGATAATTAGCTTGATGAAAATAATTAGTACCAATAATTTTGTGGCTATCTGTATCTAAAACGTCACAAAGCCTAACAAAGAAAACACAACTTATAAAACATCTGTCCCTATAAAATGATARCCATTGACATAAAAGTCTTTAACCAGAGAGTCATTATTCAGGTATCTGAGGTCAGACAGGCCTCACGCTCATTATTGTTCTGTTCTGACATCTTTATAGTTGTAAATGATGTTCCTGAAGAACCAGAAGTCAGTCCAGAGCCAGAAGAGCCAACAGTCAGTCCAGAGCCAGAAGAANGAAGAACCAGAAGTCAGTCCAGAGCCAGAAGAGCCAACAGTCAGTCCAGAGCCAGAAGAATCAGCAGTCAGTCCAGAGCCAGAAGAACCCAAAGTATTCTTCATCCAGAGCACAGAACCGGTACAGTGTAATGAGGCTTCAGTAGAGAACATAGATGTTGCTGTGGAACCAGCTCAGGAGCAGATTCCAGCATCAGTGACACCAGTACAGCCGACAGAACAAACATCACTATCAGTCACTCCTGTTCCACCTGTGGAGACAGAAACTGTGGAGTCTGAGCAGGAAGTCATGCAGCCGGACACTTATGAGCCAGAAGAACCAGGTCACATTAACGTGGACAGGAAGGAGGAGAAGGAGGAGACTGGTAAAGAGACAYAGACACCACATTCCATTAAAGAGAAGAACAGCAGTGATGACCAGGAAGGAATGAYCACTCAGCAGGTAAAATATCTCTATCTCTTAACATTTTTTACTTCTTTGCTGTTTCTGGGAGAGTTGTAGCCCTCAAGACCAGTCTCAAGACTACTTTTTGATGGTCTTGTCTCAGACTCGACCTTGTTTTTACTCAGTCTTGTCTCCGTCTTGGACATTAAGGGCTCTGGATTTTATTTCTAGYCCAGTCAAGACCACAACAGTGGAAATCTCACTAAATTGACAGAATATTGTTCAGTTATTGTTTACCATCTTWACTTTCATTGGATTCAAARCCAGCTGTGACTCATTGATAATTGTGTATTTGRTCCACTCACTCATCCCCACCTCTCTCACTGGTGGTCTGACCAGTCCYCATTTCTAATTGTTTTTGGAAATCGTGGATGTGGTGTCCTTTTGGACAAACAGGAAAAGGACTGTCTGAATTGTTTTCAGCGCAAAGTTCAAATGCTAACCTCTCRGATGGTATGGGGGTGTATTAGTGCCCATAGCATGAGTAACTGTCACATCTGTYAAGGCTCCATTAATGCTGAAAGCTACATCCAGGTTTTGGAGCAACTTATGCTGCCATCCAAGCCARGTCTTTTTCAGGGACATCCTGCTGATTTCAGCAAGACAATGAAGACACATRCTGCTCATGTTCCAACAGTGTGGCTTCAGAGTAAAAGAGTGCAGGTATAGACTYGCCTGTCTGCAGTCCAGACCTGTCTTAAGGATGAAAATGTGTGGAGCTTTACGACGAGACCCCGGACTATTGAGCAACTGACYATGTTCATCAAGAAGAATGAATGAATTTCAGCTACAAAAACTTCAACAYTTAGTGTCCTCAGTTCACAAACACTTATTGAGTGTTGTTAAAAGGAAAGCTGATGGAACACAGTGGGAAACGATCCTGTCCCAGGTTTTATGCAACGAGTTGCAGCATCAAATTCAAAATGTGTACATATTTGAATAACGAAATAAAACAAAAAACAAAGTTTTTCTGTTTGAACATTAAAGGGATCCAGTTTACAGTCTTTATTTTACAGTTAAAAAATGTTTATCAAATAAAGTCTAACGTTAGAACTAATTGTGGATCCCTTTAAATATCTTGGCTTTGTAATGTGTTAAAAGGATTCGCAAATCATTGCATTTTGTTTTTATTCATGTTTTACACAACAACCCAACTTTACAGGGAATGGATACTAGGAAAGTCTTAATTTAATGTGGAAAACAGGATTTTATCATAAACTCAAAGTGTCATGGTTTTATTTACTGTAGGCTTCTGACCCACATGCAAGGACTCTCTCACAAGAATGAAATCAGTAAAATCAGGTTTATTTTCAAATAGATGGTAAATGTGCAAGGTGGGGTTTCCATGGGTTTGATGATGAACAGGAGAACTGCAACAGAGAAGATGGTTAGATCACAAGTTCTGAGAATTGAGGGAGAGTTGCTGGGATTAAAATAGTTCTTACAGTGTTGAGGATAAAGCACCGCCAGGGAGGAGTGGGAGGATTCCAGGTTGGTTGGTTGGTTTGTGTGCAGTGGAGATCTGCTAGGGAGGTGGTAGTTAGGAAGAGAGGGAGCTTCCCCAGATGGTGAGGCTGCAGGACTGTAGGAGGGCAGACGGGTAATACAAAGAGAGCCTTTTGGTTACCAGTCTTGGAGTTCTGAGGTCCAAAGGTCTTGGTTGATTAGGTCTGGTAGGCTGGTCCAGGAAGGACTTTGAGAAGACCGCGGCAAACACAGGAAACCTTTGAGGAGGGAGAGAGCAATGGATTTACTTGAGACTGAGCACAAGGAAGCTCTAATGAGACAAATTGTAAGGCTTGGCATTACCACAATGGTTAACACTCAGGTGTTGGATGACTGGTAACCAACTCCTTTTAAGCAGGGTAAGACGAGGCTGAAGAGCTGCAGGTGTGCAGCTGCACAGCTGTTGAAGATGAGCCCACAGTCCTACAGCAGTTCTTCTTGGCTCCCTCTGGTGGACTCCTGTGAGAATACACAACACAACTCTGGTTCCCTGACACAAAGATGTCACTAATGATGGATTGGACTTCATATGGCCCAATGAACACTGGAGAGAGCTTTTTGGCCATAGATTTCAATTAAATATCTCGGGAAGAAAGCCATACCTTCTGACCGGGTGAGTACTGAGGAGCAGGAGATCTCATCTTGTCAGTGGCCCTCTTGTTTTGCTCAGCTGCTTGGTGGAGAGCTCTGGTAGCGTTGGACCAGATCTGCTTGCAGTGGCAGATGTGATGATTGACTGAGATAACTGAAATATCTTTGTGATCTGAGGGGAAAAGTGGGGGTTGATAGCCAAGAGAGGCCTCAAAGGGGGACAGACAAGAAGCAGTAGACACATGAGAAATGTGAGCAATACTCTACCCATGGGAGGTACTGACGCCAATCGGCCAGGTTGGTAGAAGTAAGACAGCGGAGTGTAGCTTCTAGTTCTTGATTAAAACGTTCCACCTGGCCGTTGGACTGGGGATGGTAGCCTGATGTAAGAGAGGATTTAGCACCAAGGGCTGAACAGAAGTGCTTCCATACCAGTGAGGTGATCTGGGGACCACGATCAGACAGAACATCCTGGGGGATACCATGTAGATGGAAGACCTGTTTAACCAATAGTTTGGCAGTCTGCAGGGCAGATGGCAGCTTTCTGAGGGGAACAAGTTGGCAGGCTTTAGAAAAACGGTCTCCACAAGCACAGGATGATCAGCACCCTCTAACCAGTGCCGCCACTCCTCTAAGGCAAGTTTGATGGCGAGAAGCTCCCGATCCCTGACATCATAGTTTCTCTCTGGTAGGGAGAGACGATGGAAGAAGAAAGCGCAGGGGTGAAGCTTCTTGTCGGGTTCAGATCGTTGGGATAAAACTGCCCCAATCTTAGTGTCTGAGGCATCAACTTCGAGGACAAACTGTTTCTGGGGGTCAGGCTGAATAAGAATGGGTGAATGCGGTATCTGCTTCAGAGTTCCAAGTGAAGGTTGTCTTGGTGCTTGTTAGTGTGGTGAGTGGAACTGCAATCTGACTGTAATTTCTGATGAAGCGTCTATAGAAGTTGGCAAACCCAAGGAAACGTTGCAACTGTTTGCGGGTTTCGGGTGTGGGCCAGTCCAGAACTGCTTTGATCTTATCAGGGTCTGTACGTACCTGTCCACCCTCAAAAATGTATCCAAGGAAGGTGACTGCCGTTTTATGAAATTCACATTTCTCTACTTTAATGTACAAGCGATTTTCCAGGAGGCGTTGGAGGACAAGGCGAACATGATGTTGGTGTTCAGCTGGGGATTTGGAGAACATGAGTATGTCGTCCAGGTACACAAACACAAATAGGTTGAGGAAGTCTCGAAGAACATCATTTATGAGGGCTTGGAAGACGGCAGGAGCATTGAAGAGTCCAAAAGGCATAATTTGATATTCAAAGTGGCCGAGGGGTGTCTTGAAGGCTGTTTTCCACTCATCCCCTTGGCAGATGCGAACAAGATGATAGGCATTGCGGAGGTCCAACTTAGTGAAAATCTTGGCATTGTGGAGGGGTTCAAAGACGGAGGAGATGAGTGGTAAAGGGTATCTGTTCTTTACTGTTATTTTATTTAATCCTTGGTAGTCAATGCAAGGATCCCGTCTTTTTTGGACACAAAGAAGAACCCCGCTCCCAGAGGGGAGGAGGAATGTTGGATGATGCCCGTGGCAAGTGACTCATTAACATACTTCTCCATAGCCTCTCTTTCGGGTCGAGAAATGTTGTAAAGACGGCTTGATGGCAGTGGAGCACCAGGAAGGAGGTCAATGGCACAGTTGTATGGTCTGTGGGGTGGAAGTGAGGATGCTTTAAGCTGGAAACATACTCCCTGCGAACTAACGACGTTGGCACGGGTTGTCGCAGTTTAATGACAAAAATTACGTCACCGGGCTTCGCAGCGTTGTGTCGACAGCCCCTTTTGGCACAAGCCCCCGGCAGAACTTTTTGACCCCCCTCCCTTGTCAACGGTAATGTGTGATTGGTCTGAACTGAAAGCGCTCAGACAGACACAGCAGAAGAAAAAACAAACTCGCTTCTGACTAGAGCAGACTGTTTTGAGCAGTTTTAAAGATAGACAAACTGAGGAAAAACTCATGCATTGTTTGTGCTGACAGCGCTATGCCCTGCATTTACTTCAACCACTCGGTAAAAAAAAGGGAAAAAAATGACTCGCTCCCCGAGCCGACCAGGAAGAAGAGTTTTATAAAGATAGTCAAACCGTGAAAAACTCATGAATGGAGACAAACAGACATAACAGACAAACAGGCACGGAGGAATCAGAAACTGTGGAGCTTTTTAACCAGGACAGATGTGGATAAAAATCCGTCGGGTGAGTGACTTTTTTCTGCATTGCTGTTGAGGGGAGAAATTCCATGCAGTGACGAGTGGTTCAGTGGGAGCGAGGGCTTCCCCCAAGCTCGGAGCATTGTGCAGGAACAAAACAGACGTTGTGCACGGAGGAATCTGACTGATAAAAACTGTGGAGCTTTAACCAGGACAGATGTGGATAAATACGTCGGGTGAGTGACAAATCTGACTTTTTTTCTG